ACTTACTAAGCCCCCTGCTTGAGAAAGGCGCAAGGCCAGGATTGGTGCAGAAGAGGCGGGGCTTAGGGCGTTTCGGGCTTAGGTGCAAGGCTTTGATCGGGATTTCAGTGGCGACGGGTTTCGTCTGTGCCGGTACGCAGTACGATTCAGGGATCTGGATTTGGGAGTTTCCGAAAACAAGGGACCCTAACATAGTACCCTACATAGTAGTATCCTCATGAAAAATGGTACCCCTAATTCAGGAGAGATTAGTGGCCTTTTGCTAAGGGGCGGCCGGCACATGTGCCGAAACCAGACGGCTACACTCTGCTCCCAGCAGAGAAAACAGCTAGAACCTGCAAAGAACGACCAATGATCGTGTAATCAGCCACCGTCTCGTGCTGAAGCACCTTACAGTGCGCACGCTTTGTAGCGCTGTGCAGGCTGGCGATCGAAATGGCGACATCGCCAACATCATGGAGTAGTCTTCTATACAACTGGTGACGTTATTCACAAGAGCCCTGAAGCAAACACAAATGTATTGCCAGTAGGAGAAATCCTGACACATGTCCGAAAAACTACGAATTGGACTCCCCTCCTCTCCTTCTGAAACGCTAAGCCCTAAACCACAAACCCCTAAACCCTTTAGATCCCTTGCAGAACCCCTACGGATCCGTTTAATTAAAGGAACCCTAAAGGACCCCGTTGAAGGAACGCTGGGGTTGACGATTCGGGTGTGATGCATGTCAACCAGTCCTGAGCCCGAATGCTTCGTGCTTGGGATTTTGGGCTTAGCACTCGGGGTGCCCATGTGCCTCCATGCACACGCGCGGTCTCCGTACCTTGGACATCAAGCTGGCAGCTCTGGGCACAAATTGACTGCACACCCTGAACCCCTTGAGCCGCGGATTCTGAAATCGTCGGCTCTGCGTGCGCGAAGTACATAGGCTGGGACTCAGCTCGTCAGCCCCTACCGATGAGCCCGGAGCTCCAATCCAGTCATCAACCTTCACCACTATACAGGATTTAGGGTCCTACTCTACTATAGTATGTTGCGGTTTAGAGTTCAGGGTTTAGGGTGTGGGATGCCTCAGTTCTATGAGTGTGCATCACGGGCTGGGGAAGCTTCTGGAACAACGCCCAGGCACCAGCCAAAAAGACTTTGCCATTCCTGGGCAAATGTGGATGACGAGTCAGGGACAGCTTCAGCCATAGGCCCCATACAGTTCCTTCTTGGGGTTCATAGAAGGAATACCGTAAGGTAATCCCAAAAAGGAACTACTATGGGGCCTGCAGTTCGGGTATGTTCTGCCACATCTTCACGATCACCACTACAAGACGTAGCTTCAGGCAGGAAGCGCAGGCCTTAACAATCAAAATCGGGTTTCGGGGCATAGCTTACCATAGTTGTAATAGGAACCCTGAGGAATAGACTTTGCAATTCTCCAGGCTCCTACATGAGAGGTTCGGGCCAGGATCTGGGCTTCTAGTGTTGCCTGCTTCAGGATTTACCTATAGTCTCCATTGTAGTTCCTGTTCTTGGATAGCCAAGATCTCTATTATAGGATCCTAACCCTAAAACTGGCTAACCAGAAGAAGGAACTAATTACAACGGAGACTCTAGGCAGAGCTCTAGCGATCCTGGGGGCTTCAAGTTTGGGATTTTACGGTTCAGGGCTTGGGGGCTTGCAGGGTTGCCGGATGACGAAAAGAAAACAGGGGCTTAGGGTTTAGGGCGGCTTTTAGGGTTTAGGGTTTAGGGTTTAGGGTTTAGGGCGGCGTTTAGGGTTTAGAAATTGAGATTAGTTAGTAAACACCTTTTGAGTGCCATGTTTCAATGCAGCTAGCTGCAGGTCCTTGTCTCCGTAGCGGGGATGATGCGAAAGACGGTCCTGGTGTACCACGGGTGCAGCTACTGTAACAGCTTTCCAGGTTTGGGGGCTGTGGGTAGAAGTCAGACACTTGGCGGAGAGCAAAGAACACCGAACGACGAAACGTGTTGAAGACACCACGCTTGTGAATCAGATGGGGGTTTCCGAAAATTAGGGCGTGTCTTATCTTGGGGTCCTTATATTGGGGTCCCCTGTTTTCGACAACTCCGAGATTGCTCTACTGGCAGAAGCTTAAGAGGGGACGTGTCCTTGCCGTTGTTGACGGCACTGTTCTTGCTGGGTTTAAGGTTTAGGGTTTAGGGGTTCAGGACAACATGCTCCAGCAGCGGCAGGAGCAGAGGCAACAAGACATGCAGCAACGGAATCAAGAGCATTCACGACAATGTTGAATCTGAGGAATTAAGAATATACATACATCTCTGGTAACAGCACCATACCATTGCTCAAGGTTTTCTCTGCATTGTTCGGTTCGTCGAGTTCAATGCAACACTGTGAAGCTGCAGCAGCATCAAAGAGGGGAGAGGGAAAGGAGCAGGAGGAGGAGGAGGAGGAGGAGGGAAGGAGGAGGGAAAGGAGCAAGAGGAGACTGTGGTATCTGTTCGATGAACAAGTTGTCGGGGTGGCTGTTGGCTGTTGTCGTCGTCCTCATGGCTTTGATGGTTTACTATATTGCTCAGGGGTGGAGGCAATATTGAAATAGCAGCGGCTGCGGTGGGAGCGACGGCTGTCGACATTTACGAACCAAGACAAACCGAGGTTCAGATGCGGCTTATTTTTTCGACGATTCTTCTGCGGCCTCTGCAGACCGCTGTAGTACACCTTTCTCGTAGAAATATTCAAAGGAACCCTTAGAGTAACCCCTTCAGGAACCCCGAAAAGGAACCTTTGTACAGTTACTACCCCTTCTACAACCTTTTTAAAGGAACCCTGTTAGTACATTTTACACTAACCCTCCACCTCCTATCGTTTCGCACTGGATGTCGCCTCCGGTTCTGTGGGATGGCGAGTGAAGGGATCTGCCTTCCAGTCCTTGAGCACTGCTGAGGTTCTTGTTAGGGTTTAGGGGTCCTTGAGCACTTCTGGGAGCTGAATCTAAACTACCCTGTGGTTTACTACACATCCCCACTATGGTAGCTACCACAATACGGCAAGGGCACCATATGATTTACAATTATAGATACCCATTCACTGTAATTTATACTTCAGATGAGCTCCCGAAGAAGAACCCAGACTTCGACACGTTGGGCTAAGCTACGGCTCAAGGTGTTGGCTTAATGGTTGAAGGTCTGGTTTGGAGGTTTAGGGTTTAGGTTGGCCTTAACCTAGGGTCCCTATATATTCCATATTACAGAAAAGTAGGGTCTGGTAGTTTAAGGTAGGGCCAGGTGTTCAAACTCGTTGGGGCTCAAGGTTTGAACGTTCCAGGTCGTTGCACTGGTGGGGAACGCTTTACGGGCTTGTGATGCACTGCGGTTCTCTTGGGTCTTCCTTTTTGAGATGCGCTGGCTTAGGACGCATGTTGAGGGCCTAGATTGGGGCCCAAAACGTTGGGCTACCTGTATCGATCTGTTGCGCTTTTGGGCTCAGGGTTTGGGGGGTCGGGTGCAGGGGTTGGGGGGGTCTGGCAAGCAACTACTACGGAAAAATGATGGAAAATGCCAGCCATAATCCCGAGCCAACTTAAGTGGTTAACCGAAAACAGGAACTACAATGGAGACTCCAGGCATTCCCTAAACCCTAAACCCCTGAACCCCTAAACCCTATAGCCCAAACTCTAAACCCTATACCATTATTTATAATGACTTTAACGGGCTGTGGAATCTAGGGCATCAGGGGCTTCGGGCTTCAGAAACCCCAAGGGTCCAAGTACCTAATAATCATACACTCTCCGGACCTACATATCTACTATCCTAAAACCGAGTACCCAATTATTGGGTCCTTTAAACCCTTGAAGAAAGAAAGGATCTCATCCTCCATGCAATGCTCCAAGCCCTAATATGAAAACCCGCAATAATTAGAGTAAGGTTTTGGGTCCCATTATACTATAGTTATAGTAAGGAAACCCCAAGACAGTATAGGTAATTATTGAGGCCCCTATATTACAGCTCAAACTCGAAGTCCTTGAGCTCATAGGGGAGTGTCCGAAAATTCGGGGGTACCTTACTTAGCAGTCCTGAGAATTAGGATCGTACTATTTAGGGTGCTATATTAGGGTCCCCTACTTTCGGAAACTCCCCTGTCTCGAAACTTAAACCCCCGAAGCTCATACCTGCTTGGTTCGAATGTCGGACACCCTATCGGCCGTAACACCAAGTCAGAAAGCCGGGAAGTTTGCGAATCGAAATCCAAGAGTCATGCTCGTCGTAGAAGGAAATGTTCTGCGAAGCTTCCTGCACCGGCTGTAGACTGTAAACGCTGAAGTCTCAGCAGTAAACCGCTTGACCCGAAGCCACGCGAGGCGTCGTTGTACGAACTGACCTTCGGAAATACATATTGAGGTTTTCAAGGAAACTGCGACAGGGTGTTGGGAAGGAGTAGTGTCGTGATTGCACAGACTAGCACGGACAAAAACACCATTATCTGTTGAGACTCTATAACTTCCCTAGACAAGCACCAGAGAAAAAAAGGGTGACAGCTTCCCCAAACCCCTTAAACCGATTCAAGCCCCTAATACCAATTCTAGCGAGTCCACAATGTAGACTCGCTACGGGGTTTGGGAAGCTGACATGCAAGAGCAGGCCCGGCGCCCACCTTCAAAAACAAGGGTGGGCCCGGTGATATACTTAAAGGATCATTGGACTTAGTATCTAGGGTTTTCAAATCAGGCAACTATACTTTCAATTGCTTATAACCCCAATTCCCCAATTAGAGGACTTGTAACCTTTCTTACTAAGTCCCCGGATCCTCCAAGTAGGATTTAGGGTTTCTCGAGTTCAGGTCGGAATCGTTAGCCTGTCTGCCCCGAATACAAATTGAACCCGAAAGAAAATCCTTCTAGAGCCCTGTAAACAGATCCTTTTGTTAGTACTGAGTCCCCTATGCAACGTCAGGTAAACCCGAAGACTTCATACCACCAAACCTGGGGATCTAAACCCGAAATCCTACATCCGAAAACCCTAAACGATGCAGCTAGTTTGACCAACGACAAGCATCCTCAACCGTGGGAGCCTTGCCAAAGAGGCGCACGAGCTGTTCCAACACTTGCTCTTTCCTCTTCGCCTGGCCCAACACGCGTTGCCACACAGAAACACGCCCTAAACCAAACCTCAACCCCTAAACTGCACAAGAGGATGCCAGAGTTGTGGCTGAAGGATTATTAGCTGAAGGACTACAGCCTGCGTTTTGCCGGCGAGAGTCCAGTCCGGTGCCACGTCTCGTGAGACACATGCTAGGATCTTGCCATTCCGCCCTTTTTGGCAATGACCTCCTTGCATGTCTTCTTCAAGCCGCCCGCGATGCGGGCAGCTACACTCTGGGCACGTCAGTCCACCCTGTTGCCGAAGCTGCCACAAACGCACAAAACCTCTGCCAGACAGCGGGTGCCTCGGCAGCAGGCCAGCTCTGGTAGGTCAGCAGAACTGCTTCGGAGCGAATCCGAAAGCCTTCGCGGCCGTTTGCGACGGCAGTGCTTGGAGCTGCCTGCTGTGCCTGAGGACGGGTTGGCCATGGTCGACATGCAGGCTTGGAATCTCGATTCGCTGCATGCCACGCATCCCTTGCCGCATTCAGCCTCTGAGCGTCCGCAGGTGCACCGCCCTTGTCGGGGTGCACCTTGACGGACACACGGCGGAAGGCCCTCGTGACATCCGCATCTGGCGACTCGCGCGTCAGGGAAAGTTGCACCCCATACGCGCTAGCCAGAGCCAGAAGCAGTGTCACCAGCGCCCGCTTGGAACGTTGCTTCAAGGTCAAGGGCATGTCAGGCCATGGCCGGGATCCTTGAGACAGACGTCCCCCTCTGAAAAACAGTCACGGAAGGCATCGCCGGGCCGAAAGTTTCGACCCACTTGTGCATCATCTAACATACAAGCTCTTGCGGAGTAGCGGAGTACCTCAAAGTCTACTTTACCCTACGCAGGCCAGCGGAGTAATTACTACCCCGTTTTAAAAATATAATACTTATTAGTTCCGGGGGAGGCCCCAAGGCTCACTTGTGTTAGGAGTCTATGGGGAAGAGGGCGGAGGCTCATGTGCTGTAGCATGTTGAGGCTAGTGGGTCGAACTATCGGCCCGGCGCAGTATTAGCCGAACATGCGTTGGCAACTTGGCCCCAACTGATGAGCCCTGAAGGTCCATGTGTCTGGGGAGTTGGGAATTGATCTGTATAGAGTCGTGAAGGCAACGGCCAGGATAGGATAAAGGGAAAGGAACAGTTTAAGTACGCCGAAGATGATATTTTGTTTTTTCGCGAGTTGGGCCGACTGTCAGCTGTCGACGTGATGTTAACTGCTGTTCAGTGCAATGTGCAACATGAAGCACACCAAATGAAACGTGCCCTTTGCGTGCCTGTTCTGCTTTCGTTTCGTACGTCGAAGAGGCTCCGCAAGATAGGCATGGACCTAATGACAGTTGAATTTTGGTGCGTGGTTCTCGCTTCCTCGCATCGCTTGTGTTTCTTTCATTGCGTACATTCGCTCACTAGGTCAGTTCAGTTTGTAGTTGAAACGACATAGAAAGAATACAAAGGAGAAGCGGAAAGGAACGATGAAAGGAACTAAATTCAGCAATTGATCTTGAAGCATATCAGGTGAACCATTACAGTGTAGGTGTATTTCGTTGGCCGTTAGAACTTGTCTCTCACCACCTCTCCTGCTGCTGCTGCTGCCGCTACCCCTACTCAACCTACCACGACTCTGCGATGAATTTTCTGTCGAGATCCTTGACGGCAGTTCTTGGAGCTCTTGGTGTTGTTCAAACCAACGTTACCGCCATCATCACTGCTGTTACGACTAACTAGTTTTGATCGCCTTTTGCTGCCGCTGGCAAAGCAGTCTTGACTGCTCCGGGCTGTTGTCTTCAGAACAGTAGGATTACTATAGGGGTTTAAACAAAAAATTACAGATATATACTATTTTCGTGGCTCCTTGCTATGATTATAGTAGAATGGCCCCCAAACCCCATCCTAATTATTTAAGCCCCGATAGTACTCGTTCTAGCTTACCCGAGCTGTCACTGTCATCGTGATCTGCATAGTGGTGATTGCGGCGGCGGGGTTTGACTCCCCAACCCTACAGCCACCTCGCCTCGGGCAGCTTCTTCCACGGGTGGTCCTCGTCGACCCAGCCGAAAAGCGCGTGGCAACCCATGTTAGGGCCTCTCCGTTCGGGCTGAGTTTTGCAGAGCTCGCATTCCAGAAGGTTGAGGCATTAGAAGGGTCTGAGTAATTGGGACAGGAGCAAGCCTCCATCTTTGGGTTTACCTAGAGTCTCCATTGCAGTTCCTTTTTGGGGATACCTTTTAGGATCCTTAATATAATATTGGTTAAACCAAGAAAAGGAGCTACAATGGAGACTATAGGTAGGGTTCCGAACTCAGGGGGAAGGTTATCAACCTTCCGAAGATTCTCAAGCTTACCAGCACGAGAAATGTTGACCCTAATATGTACTGCGGTATAAATCAACAAGTAGAAGAGTAGGAACAGTAGTGAGACTCGGAAATAATACTGATAACAGTGGCGAACATAGTGAGAATGACTGTTACAGTGACTTAGCCATGCCGGAAGCCTTCGCCACTGCAGTGGTCGTGGATTTGCTGGCCTTAGCCAATGCCGACTCAAGTCGTCACAGGACCCTTGGCCCTACCGGCCAAACTCCCAAAGTCTGAATCCAAATAGCATACTCTGTTCGAACCCTAAGGTTTTAAGTATACAAATAGTATCTACTTTGGGATCTAAAAGTCTTCAGATCGTAGCTGCTTGGGCTACTTATTCGAAGCCATCAGATTGAGGTTGCAGCATCGCTTAGGCCCTGAGATGCAAGAGCCTGCCTCCCCTCGCCTAATGCCTGACTTGTGTCTCTATGAAAGCCCTTTGGCAAGTTGAAAAGTGTGTTAGGGTATACTATAGTATACTTCTATTGGGGAATGATAGTGACAAATTTTCAAATCTCGATAGAACAATGTAGAACATAAATCGATGTCCGTGGGCTCAGACTCTAAACTTGTTTCATGATGGCTCCTTTAAGCAGCAGGTCCAACCAACAAGCATTCAAGCACGGTACTCCAGAATCCCTGCAGAAGTTCTTTGGGCTCTTCTCCTAGTTTCCAGCCGGAGACACAAGGAAAATACAGGGGCTTAGAAGGCGTCACAATAGGATGTGCAGACGAACTAAAATTTGCAAGAAGGATACCTCAGGAATGCTAGGACTACGTAGGAGATGGGAGTTTCCGAAAATAGTACCCTAAATAGAAGGATCCTTATTATATGGGGCCCAATTTCAATATAAGGTACTCCCTACTAATTTTCCGAAACTCCCAAATCTCTATTATAGGATCCTAACCCTCAGACGGGTTAACCAAAAAAAGGAACTACAATGGAGACTCTCGTCATACCTCAAACTCTAAACCCAACTCCCATACAAGTATTTACCCCCAAATGGTAGGTAGGATCCTTAGTATATGGGGCCCAAAATAAGGTACCCCCTACTAATAAATTTAAGTATTCGGCGCCCTCCGAACCCGAAGGCCAGGGTCGGGCTCTTTTTTCAAGGTCTTTATGATGTCCTCCCTACCGAGGCCAGAAGCCCTTGACTTGACCCGAATTTAGGGTTTAGGGTTTAGGGTTTAAGGTTTAGGGCTTAGGGTAGAAAGGTTAAGGGTTTAGGGTTTAAGGTTTAGGGCTTAGGGTAGAAAGGTTAAGGGTTTAGGGTTTAAGGTTTAGGGCTTAGGGTAGAAAGGTTAAGGGTTTAGGGTTTAAGGTTTCGGGTTTAGGGTACCCCCAAAGCCTAAACGGTAAAGCCCCAACCCAAAGCCCAACATCACACTTCTCAGAAGCTAGGGCAAACGTTTGGTTCGAGGACGACGGCAAGTCGCACCGATCTTGCTGAAAGACACGTATGCCATGACCCTCGCTCCAAAGGGGCCCTTAAGGGGGATACTCCTGGGAAGTACTCCATCTCAGAAGCAGCCTGACAGCCAAACAAATCTGAAAAATATCCGCAAATAGCGTTCAGGATTTGGGGTTCAGGGCTTGGAGCTTAAGTAGCATTTAGGATCATTTAGGGTTTAGGGTCCAGGGTCTATGAGGTTCGAACATACACATTGAATCCTACATAGGGCCATAGAGCGTTGGGGTGACGAACGAACCCAATCATTGAAAGAAGGTCCCCCGCTTGCGGGGCAAGGGTCATGGGCCTTTGTCACTGATCCCATAGCCAGCCAGCTTCCTGGCCCAATAAGGTCGTGAAGGTCCCCCTGAACCCAAAGCCCTAATGCGAGCGTTTCATCCAAACCCTAGACTCCACTATGTAGTCACAGCTGTAGCGTAGGCCGAGAAGGCTCTGAACATGTGTCAGGGGTTAGGGTATGTGATCCTGGGCTTCCTTACTAGCATGTTTGAATCTCCCCCTCACCGATCGGGAGTTCGGGGTTTTGGGCATTTAGGATTGGGATTTGTTCTCGGGCTTAACATGGGGGTCCGAACAAAAAGAATAGGGGTTCGGGGCCCATTCTGCGATAATTAAATCAAAAAACCACCAAAAATAGTATTCGTAATTACTGGGCCCCTATAGCTCCTGAAACATACCCACACTGGCAAGCCCTTCCGTGTCCTCTGTCGCCAGAAAGGCGCTGTCGAAGGATCGTTGGCATAGCCAACCGTCACCTCTTCCCAAGTTTGTGAGAAGCCGGACTCTAGGCTTCGGATTGCTGGTTCGAAGGCAATGGGACTGGTGATGGCAATAGCAGTAGTGACAGTATGAGTACTAGTAGCAATGACAGAAATGGGAATGCTAGTTGCAACAGAAAACGCAACTACTTGTGATTATGATAGGAATAGCATCAATAGCAATATCATTGACAAAAATTACAGCAATGTCAATTAGCAATGGTCGAAGTACCAGCAATGGTAATTACTAGTACTATCAGTTGTAACCGTAAGAGCAACCCTAATTGTAATCACAATCCTGAAAGTGCTAGTGTCAGTAGTAGTAACAGTAGTTCTGGAACACTGGACAAACGGATCAAGTCATGGTGTGGGGTTTACGGATTCGGCCTGTGGGCTTGCAGTGGTCAAGGGTCTCGGCGTTCTGTTTGGGTAAGGGCTTCAGGCCTTTGGCTGTTGGTTCCGGAAAGCAGCCAAAAGCCGTGCACTGTACTTAGTGGTTCGCAGATTGAAGCCCAAGTCAAAAACCCGAACAAACTTTCGTTGGCCTACAGAACCCTGAACCCGGGCCCAAACTACGAACCTAAATCGTGCCTTCATGGCGCTGCCCATCCAAGTTGGCGTGCGATGGATGGCCTCAAACATTCAGGCAGAGGGGCTTGCTTGGAGTTTGGGAAGCAAGTGTGCGTGTGTGTGTGTGTGTGTCCATATGTGTATGCATAGGGATGTAGAAGTGCAAGTATATGTGTACGGAAGTACCTATGCAAATACGTGTGTATATATGAACATCAGGTATGCATATATATATATATATATATATGTATATATATATATACATAAATACACACACGCACACATATATTGTACGTCCGGACGTACGCAGTTACACCGGGCTAGACCTAAGACCTAGGGCGGGAAGTCCCAAGCCTGCGCCCTTAAATAGATTTCGGAAACGAACAAAAAAAACCTTGGGATGTATTGGGTTTTTATAAATGAACCGATACCTGGTTTAGGGTTTAGGGGCTTAGGGTTCAAGGTTGAGGGCTTAGGGGGTTGGGGTTTAGGGACTCTAAACCCTAAACCAGTGAACCCCGCACCCTCTCAAACCAAGTGATCAGAGCCATGCAACCTTGACCATCGGCTCGGGTAGGCTCGGCGAAAACTTGACACCTGGAGGCAAAAAAGGTAGTGGCATAGGGCTGGCTTTTGAAACCCTAAGCTATCCTGACAACTATGCAGCGCAGGCATTGGGGATTCTGTGTCTGGGTGTGTGGAGAGAGAAGACCTGGCCTGCGCTGTTGTGTTTTGTGGGTTCGGGGTCGCAGATAGACGACCTTGTGAAATGAAGACGACTCAGGTTGTAACCACGAATGCTCCGACTGATCAGAATTTTGCAATGAGAAGTCCTGCTGTTGCCATAAGTGGCAGTGGTCGTCATTGTGGCAATGCTATTGGTAGCCGTCGTAGTCGTAGTTGTAGTCGTACTGGTAGTCCAGATAACTTCAATCTCGGAAACAAGCCTCCGGACAAGCCCATGCTGAGTGTTTGAGGCCCGGCACCGTGCAAGGCGAGCCGCGGCGGCAAGGCAACGATGACACGGTGGGCGGTGAAGCGCTCCTCATACATGCATACATACATACATCTATGCATGCATGCATGCATGCATGCATGCATGCATGCGTACGTGTTACATACATACACACATACATGCATACATACATAGTTGCATACTATTACAGAAAGTTCCATACGATTGCATATTGCTCTGTACAGTTAGATGCATTCACGTGAATATACTGGATATACATCCAGACAGGCATGCACACAAATCCCTGTGTTCCGACTTGTACGACAAGTAAAAGCGATGTTGGGCAGCATCGCAACTATGATGATTTTGCTGTCAATAATTAAGCTGTGATGCTTCTGGTTGCTGACTGTGTTGTTCATCCCTGCCGAGATCGCATTAAGTAGTGGAAGTCGTCGCCATCGACATCGTCGCTGTCGTAGTCGTAGTCATTGAAGTAGTCGTAGTGGTGGTAGGCAAGCAGCAAGCAGCAGCAGCAGGAGCAGCAGGAGCACACACAGGAGCAGGAGCAGCTGCAGGAGCATCAGCAGCAAGCAGCAGCAGCTGTAGCGGTAGCACTGGCGGCAGTGGCAGCATTGGAGGTAGCCGTAGCGGTAGCAGCAGCAGTGGTAGAAGAAGGCATTCGTTGTCGTTGTTGTCGCAGTCATATTGCAATCGAAGAACTCATGGGCTTGTTTCCCTCCCCCCCCCATGCCCCCCCTCCCCCGCCAGGCACCCTCAGCAAGTCTTATTGAGGTTTAGCATTTCCCGCTTACGACTTACGAGTCTTGTTCAGCAGACCCTCCGCCCCCTCCACCGGGCAAGCCAACAGCATGCAAGGCCGCAGCAAAGCCTCAGCAAGGCCTTAGCAAGGCCCTAGCAAGGCCTCAGCGACCCTGTCAGAACCTCCCGCGGCCCGTCAGGGCCGTGGCAGGCTTCTGTGAAGGTTACGCAAACCAAGGTCGAGGCCCTACCGAGCTTCTAATGAAACGCAAACCTTGGCAAGACCTTGGCAAGTACTTGCTAAAGCTTTCCTAGGGGGTTGACAGGGGGAGGGGGGGCATAGGGGGGGGGGGGGGAGCAAAGCTGTCCATGAAGAACGCATTGCTTGCTCCGAACCTACTGTTGATGGTATAAACCCTGCATTACCCATGATAAGGAATACACCATAATTCCCATAGTTTAGGGTCCTTCAGGTAATGCAGGATTTATATCATCCACCGTATTTCTGGCTTACCTTCTCAGAAAAGAGATTGAAGACTTCGTCCCGGCCTAAATGCACCGCTGGGACATGTTTTGACATCCGGAAACGTGAAGTATTGAAACCCTGAAACCCCAAATTCCTGGACCAACCCACCAAAGCAAAGCAATTCAACAGAAGTTGAATCATAAAGCCCTAAATCCTGAAACCCTGAACCGCAAAAAGAAACAAACAAAACGCCAAAGCCCAACAAAACGAACACCCTCAATCCTGCGACCCTCTAGCCTAAATTCATAAACCCTAAAATGGCTAAACTCTTAGCTCACTCCTCCGCTCGCTCCGTGCTCGCCAAGACTTCCAAGGCGTCCTCCTCGCAAGTTCAGGCGCCGCGGCGTCGTTTGGGTTTCAGGGATTATAGGAGGGTTCATGGTTTTGGGCTTAGTGTTCCAGGATTAGGTTTAGAGTTCAGGGATTAGGGTTTTGGGGTTCAGGGTTTAAGGTGAAGGGGTTCAGGGGCGAGGCTTTCGGGATTCCACCAGGGTTGGAGAGCATTTAGGGGTTTCAATTTCGTGCAGGCTCAGAGACTGTGGAAATTTTGCTTTCCATGGGCTGGGGCGATTCAAACTCCTTCCCGCTGGGACGCACTTAGGGATCAGTTGGGTCCTTCTCGGTGATGCAGGTCACTTTGCGACCCAACCTTGCACTGGGAGGGCCAGGGGACGTAGTAAGTCGGTTATAAGTATACGAACCCGAAATGGTGTTACCCCGATTATAAATTATAACCACTTTTAAACGACTCACTAAGTCCTCTGGCCATCCAAGCAAGTGAGGCGAAAAGCCTACATGCCTTGAACTCTGGAACCCCAAAGCCTTGAACCCACAAAATACGAATTATCAGCCTGGGCCCTTATCGACCGGCCTTAATTCCTGGCAGAGGGTCTTTGTGCTCACTTTTTGCACAAGGCAACTCTAAGAATAGACTTGGCGATTAGTTCAGGCCCCTTTTTCAGTGCCGGGGTCGAAGGTGAAGGGTCTGGCGTGTTCCTGCTGTGTGCTATTTCGGGTCTACGAGTGTTGGAGGTTCCTATGCTTTTGAAAACCGTACGACAAGTGGAGGATGGAGGCTTCATAGACCAACCTTTGCCAAGCGTGAACCTTAGACCCTAAACACTAAACCCCTTGCATAAACGTGCAGCTCACAACCACCACCCAAAGACCTCCAACTCCAGGACTGTGATGCGGTCACGAAGGAAACCTCAAGCCCTGTCCTACATTGGTAAGCTCTGAACCCTAAACCCTAAGCCTAAAACCCGAAGCCCTAAACCCTATTATAGGCCCAAGGCCCGTAAGCCCTAAACACTGAGAACCTGATTCCCTAAACCCTAAGCCCTAAACGGCTCTAAGCCCTGACACCACATCAAATGCGCCAGGCAGCAGAACCCTTGCCTTGTCGATTTTTGACTGCAGCCCATCGATAAGGGCTCCTGTGCCTTGCTTTTTAAGGGCTCCTTGAAAGGCTCATTTGAAGGGTTTCCTTTAAAGGTTCCTTTAAGGGATTGTTTTCGGATTCCATTAAAGGTTCCTTGAAGGGCTCTTTTTAAGAATTCATTGAAAGGCTCCTTGAAGGGCTCCACCTCGCTTTACAGCGACGGTACGGGTAGGGTTTGGGGTTCAGTGTTCAGGGCCTAAAGGGTTTGGGGTTTAGGGTTTGGGTTTGAGGGTTTAGAGGGCTTATGTTCTGGGGTTTGAGGTTTGGGGCTTATATGTTATAGGGTTTGAGGTATAGGCTTTCGGGCTTAGGGGAAAGGTTTGGGGCTTAGGGCTTAGGGTTTGGGGCGTGGGTTTTGAGGTGTAGGGAAGTCCTAGCAAGGGCAAACTTCAGTTTCTGCTTCGACCGAACGTCTTCGCAGCGCGCGATTCTTGATTCGATCCTGTACTGGGTTCCTATTTTAAGAGACTAAATTTTAAGTTACCATAATTTAGGGTTCCTTTTGGGGTTCTAGAAGGGTTTAGGGGTTAAAACGGGACTAAGTTAAGTTACCATAAGAAAGAAACCGTATTACTTCCATGTTGTGGTAAGTTAAACTACATGCCGCCTTAACAAGAACTTAGTGTATTCCATTCCTTGACATTTTCAGCCGTGGCCGTCTGGCTGCCCTAAGCGGTTATCCGAACAGGAAACGTCACCCCCAGGAGCGACGAGAATGAAGACGTCGTTGCATCCTTGCATGCCGGTTGTGCATGCTCTGGGCATTCCATACCTGCGTGCACCTAAGACGTAAATCCTCAACCGTGGCCATGCAACCAAAAGCCTCAAATCACAACCGCCACGGTTTTTCGACGCTCATGAACGAAACGGGCAAAAGAGCGCTGTAACCCTAAACCCTGAACCCGAAACCTTAAACCCAAAACCCAAGCCGGGATGCCAGTTTGGCCCTCAAGCCCTAGAGTCACGGAGCTCCTACACGCATTACCTATAGTCTCCATTGTAGTTCCCTTTTTGGGCTGCCTTAGAGGATGCTAACTATAAAAGGGTTACACCAAAGAGAGGAACTACGATGAAGACTCTAGGTAGAACCCTAAACTCCTAAACCCTGAATCCTAACCCCCCGAAACCCCCAACTCCTCCTCTCATGCTGCCTACGGTGATTACGGTTGATGATATAAATCCTGCATTACCTTAAGGACCCTAAACTATGGGAATTATGGAATATTCCTTATTATGGGTCATGCAGGATTTATATCATCAACCGTTATCGTCCGGGGTACCACCCTCCAGCCGGAAGCTCTGGCTGTCTTCCTGGTTGGAGGCGTCGGGCTGAAGCTTGCAGGTTGGATTAAAAGAAATCAGAAAGGCCTTCATAACTTTATAGGGTCTACCTATAGTCTCCAGGTTGGATTATATAAAGAAGGCCTTCATAACTTTATATGGGTATAATACCTATAGTCTCCATTGCAGTTCCTTTTGGGGTTAATTCTAGGATCCTAGCCATAAAACTGGCTAACCAAAATAAGGAACTACAATGGAGACTCTAGGCAGGGTTCAGGGCGAAGGGTTTCGGGGGTGCGATATAGTGTAGTTGTCATACGGAGCCTTCGGGAATGATGTAGATAATTGTTCAGGCTTCAATCTAACATGATGAGGTGGGGGGGGGGAGGAAATTATGTCTTTTGTGGTTGCTGTTGCGGGATCCGGGCTTAAATCGCTGCGGGCTCCGTTTTCAGGGGTTTAGGGTGATTTAGGGTATAGGGTTTAGGGTTTAATTTTAGTCGGGCTGCAAATCTCTCTAGCATGACGTAAAACGAAACGACACCCTCTAGACTCCATTCCAGGGCGACTGTACAAACGGTTTCAGATACCTGAAGCCCAGTACTCCGCAGCCGAAGCCCTAACCCGAAGCCTTAAACCAAAAGGCCCAAACCCCGAGCCCCAACCCTAAACTCCAAACCTCCAGACTTTTGCTTCTGGACGTCCAACTGCTCCCCCGAGTCTCCGTTCTATTCAGGAGCACTTCAGCAAGCTTGGCTTGAAGGCTTCGGGAACAGAGGGGTGTAGCACTTTGGTGGTAAAAAGATGCGAGTATCAGGCTTGCAGCATAGATGGTGTAAGGTTATGAGACTGAGGATTTTGTATGGTTTGGGCAGGAGACCGTTCAATGCGGAACGCTAAACTGCACTAAACTGCGACTTCCCAGGGTTTAGGCTTTAGGGTTGGGCTTGGGATCTAGAGTATGTTTAGGGTTTAAGGGTATCTCATAATCCTTTCCCTTAATATTAGACGCAGGGGGAGGGGCCATCCCTGCAATAGAAACTCGGAAAATGTGTTTACTACTGGGGTGTGTGTTATCTCTACTGTCGCTTTTGAAGGCTCTTGCTCTCGCTCCTGCTCTTGCTGTTGCTCCTGCTCTTTCTCCTGCTTTTGGTCTTACTCTTGCTCTTGTGTTTGCTCTTACTCCAGCTCTTGCCTTTCTCTCGCTCCTGCTCTTGCTTCAGGCCCCCGTAATGCAAATTGGGCTTTAAATGGCAGAAATGATTACATAGGTTATCCCGCAACTAACTAAAGCTAGTAATGGATAGCAAGCCCGGGAGGTCCTTGGAAGGAGCTGTTACATTGCTTGATCCCAAAACCTCAAGCCCCAACACCCAAACTCTAAATCCTGAAAGAGCCCTTGTAGAATCCTTCTGAAACCTTTTCAGACACCCTAAACTCTAAACCCTTAACCCTAAGCCCTAAACCGTAAAGGTCAGACATCGAGAGCTCAAACCCGAGAGCCGGAACCTTAAATCCAAAACCCACGGACGGTCTTCGGTTTTTGGGTTTACCTTAAACTACCAAACCCTACTTTTTTGTAGGTTCTTACTATAAACCCTAATATGGAATTTATAGGGACCCTACAAAAAACTAGGTTTTGGTAGGTTAGGGTAGGGCCTTGGAACACCAGAGAAGACGAAGGACGAAGAACCTTGGAATGCGCTCACTATAGGGCTATACCTGTAGCCGAAAAGACCTACCCTTTTAGGGTTCTTATTATGGTTTCTATGTGTGGTTCCTTAAAAAGGGAGGTCTTTCGGTTGCAGGTAAGGCTTGAGATATTCGGAGTAGGTGTCTAAGGGCACCGCTCACCCTAAAGTTACCAAAACACGAGAAGCGCTTAAAGCCGGGTGGCTTTCCAGAAGTCTTACTATATGGAACTCCTATATATAGAACCGGCGTAACTTTGCAAGCCGTAGGGTTTCGAGGAACCCTCAAAGGAACCATTGAGTGAGAGCAGCCCTCGCCGCTAAACCCTTAACACAATCTAAAAGCCTGAACCCTTAACCCTACTTAAACCCTCCGAACAAACCTGAAGGGCTCAACCCGAAACCCTGAAAAGGCCCGCTTAACTTCAGCAGCTGGAAGGTTGGGAATCAGAACCCTTCTAGAAGCCTTGTATGTCCCGACGCCTTATAGAATCCTTCTCGAAGCATGCACAGCGTATAGAACCCTTGTAGACTAACCTATAGAAGCTTTACAAAACCATTATATATAGAGCCTGCAATAACAGCCTTACAGAGGCCCGCAAGGACCTTACAGGAGCTTGCCTGAGGGTTCGGAATCGTGTGTACACGGGAAGATCGCTCGAGGACGGCTTTGCCGTCCTGACGACAGAGCTAGGGCCCTAAGTGTATTTTTCATGCCTTCATGGTTTCCAAGGAGTCTATGGGGATCCGATGGAGCTTGACGGTTTAAATCGGGCTGAGAATCTACATATTTGGGATTTGAGGCTTGTGCGGTTTGGGCTTCAGAGCTTGTGGAGGGTTCGATGATATGGGCGTGGGGATGTTGGCTTTGGGCCTAAACACTTTGGGTGTCGGAACTTGGGGTGTGGGGGGGGGGCTTGAATGAAGGACTTTGAGCTTATGAGTTCAGGGTTTGGGTTTGGGGCTCAAGGTTCATGGTTTCTGTTCCGTCGCGGGGAAAGAGACGGAGACAGAGTGAGAGGAACAGAGACATAGAGGGAGAGAGAGAGAGAGAGAGGGAGACGCCGAGAGACAGTGTCAGGGCAGGCATGCGTATTCTCAACCCCGGAGCCAGACCGGCGGCTACTACCCAGCTGCCGAACACGGATGCAGTGGAAAGAGAATAAAAGCTGACAAGCCAGGCGCCTCAGACTCATGGTTCGGTCTGTTCAGATAGCAAGGAGGGCATCAATAATAATTAGACTAGGTTTTGGTGTTATGTCCATAGTAGTACACTGTCAGTATACTGGAAGTCAAGAACCCCGAAAAAGCATTGTTTCTATAGGTACCGCGTGCTCACCTAAACGCAAACCCTCAAGCGCTAAGTCCCTAAACTCCTACTTGGAGGATCAGGGGGCTTAGTAAGTAAGGCTACATGTCCCCTAGTTGGGGAATTGGGTTATAAGTAATTATAAGTATAGTTACCTTATTTATAACCTATAGTTACTGAGTCCCATGATCCTTTAAGCAAACCTTTGGCCTTCAACCCTAAACTCTAAACCATAAACCCGCTAAACCCTAAAGCCGTAAACCCCTAAACCCCTACACCTTAGAATCCACCTTAGGCCTTCAACCCTAAACCCTGACATAGCCTCGAATTGTTCGAAGTACTTGAGCCCGAACTCCCGCGCGAGTTCGAAGACTTCTCTGTGTGGAGGCCAAAACCTTGAGAAGGTGCTACTTTGTGCTTACCTAGAGTTTAGCGGTTTAGGGGTTAAGGGTTCCTTTAAAAGGGATCTATAGGGGTACCTTTAAAGGGATCTATAGGATTTGCGGTTTAGGGGCTTAGGGGGGAATCCCAAAAAGGAACCACTATGGAGCCTATGGGTAGAGCTCGGATTCTACCTGAAACCCCCAAGTACCCTTTAATAGAGCGCTTATGGTCCTTAATAGTGGGTATTTCAAGCATAACAGAGCGTAGTTTGGGGGGTCCAAGCCCTAAAACCCTAGGCCCTAAGCCCTAAATGCCCTAGGCCCTAAGCCCGAAGCCCTAAAGCCCAGGTAGGCTGCTGGGGGTTTAGGACCTTAGGGTTGATTCGGGGTCTGGTTGGGCTATTTTACAGCCCGGAAAGGGTTGGAGCCATACTTAGCCCACGCAATATAATGTGAATGGCAAACTATAATAAATGATACTACTAGTAATAGTAGTCATAGCACGAACAGGAATACTGGTAATAACCGCAATGTATAGTACTTCAATGATGAAGATAGCATGGTAGGGAACTCCCTGAGCCTGCGGATTTCCTAAAAAGTTGCGGCTTTCGGGTTCCGGGGATCTTCATCCCCAGGACCGGGCGCATTCTTGCCGGCAGCATCCTGAAGACCCTGCACACTGCCTAGAGTCTCCATTGTAGTACCTTTTTTTGGTTTACCAAAATCTCTAATATAGGATCCTAACCCTAGAACTGGTTAACCAAAAAAGGAACTTATGATGATCGTTACTGCTACTTGTTCTACGACCCTTCTATTGTTTATGAAGAACCCAGGCTGCGGGTTGCATCTAGGCTTGAGGTTTTGGTGCCTTACAGAATTCTCCTCCGTCACGTTTCCCTAACACTATGAAACACTGTGGACTGGTATAGCACATTCTGTGACATGCAGGACCTCGTAGATTAATGTATCCCGCTATGGTATTCTATGATACTGTTTACATTATGCTTCAGTTGCATGATGTTACATTCTACTTGCATGTTAACACACACGTGCATCGCCGACAAAATGACATACATCAAGCAAGAACTATGCTCAGAACACGACCACACAATCCCCAAAGCCTCAAAGCACCCAAGAGTTACGTTCCCCATTCAACCACTTCTCCACTGCTCCACACCCACCCGGACTCCCAACAAATAACGGTCAAGTTCTTAAAGCCCTGAACCCTCAAAAGCCTAGTGTCACAACCCTAAATCCCTCGATTTTCCCTATGCTCTAAACTCAAGTCAAGACACCACGCAGGGCCCAAATCGAAATGGCCAGCGCCCTCCCGCTTTGTGAGAATGCGACCGCCGAGTCCTCGGCCAAATCTATATAGTCTGTCACGGTTATAACAGAGCATACTTTCTTATATAGAGTCAACAGACTAACATAGTAGATTATAAAGGAGTATGTTCTAGGATAGTATAGTCTGTTATAGTAATCATGTAGTACAAGTGATTTGTGTTGTTCTTGGAAATGGATGAATGCTTATCCCTGGTTTATCTGTTTATATATACATACCGACTAATTGTATCACCTTATATGATCGTACATTATATATTACACTATATATCTCTTGGATTCAGGTTTTGGAGGTTTCAGGGGCCCATCGGCTTGGAGACTGCGGGTTTAGGGTGTACTTGAGGCTCATGGGACTTAGTAAGTAAGGTTATAAGTAGGTTATAATTAGGATAACCCCACTTAGGGGACTTATAACCCCAGTTATAACCTACTCACTAAGTCCCATGATCCTCTAAGTAGGGGCTCTGGGTCCCAGGGGATAAGGCTCAGGCCCTCACCCAAAGGCCCCAAAGTAGTTCCTTTGTGGGGTTCATATATAGAATCCTATCGGGTAACTCCAAAAAGGAACTACTTTGGGGCCCCTGGGCAGAGGATAAAGGAGTGCGACCGCAAGATCAACGTCGTGAATCCAAAAAGCTGGCCCCTGAATTGGACAGCAGAGCTTATAGAGAGTTTACCTATAGTCTCCATCGTCGTTCCTTTTTCGGTTAACCAAATGCTCTACTGTAGGATAACTGGTTAACCGAAAAATGGAACTACAATGGAGACTCGAGGTAGGCTTCAGAGTTTAACGTTTAGGAGTTTGCAGCGGCATGTGCACACCGTCCTGAGCTTCCACGACTTGTGAATTACGGGGATCGATGCAAACGCCCTATCACCCATCGGCTCCAGCTTCAGTTTAGATATGTCAATGGTCTATTCGCCTCATCAACTAACGAGACGTTTGTTGGCTCATGACCGCTAGGCTGTGAAGCAGAACCCACCGGCCATACCTTGCCTGAGTCTGGGCTTTTTTGGGCCCAACTCGAGAAACCGCTTTCGAAATCCACATGCCCAGATCAGTGGAGGTCAAAGGCAGATCCTTTCATCCCAATCCTCAACCCTTAGCACAACCACTCCGAACAACAATATCCCTACACGCTTTAAGCCCTATACACTGTAAACTCTAAAGCCGAAACATGCCAAAGCCGAAACCTCTAAACGCTAACCCGAAGCCCCTCTTTAGACCATTTATGGACCCGAAATGTTAAGGTCGGAAAACCGAATCCTAAACCCTAAACCCTAAGCCCTCAACCCTAAACCCGATAAGCCCTAAACCCTGAGTCTTACAGATCTGACCGCAGCTGCGCAGCGAGATCGGCCTTCGAGAAGTAGAGTGTCCACTCCGGCTTCCTCTAAGGCACGGCCAAGATATCCCGTAGTTAAGGAATACCTAGGACATGGGGTTCCTTAAGGGATTTATAGGGTTTATAGGGTCTAGGGGACTCCCAAACCCCTGAATTAAGGAAGATACCTGTAAATCTTATTCGGAAATTCTATTATAATGTCAGGCATCTATTCGATAATTAAGGTGCTCCGGAGTCTGTGGGGAGGAAGCCTTCTTGGGGTTCGAGGGTGAAGGATTTAGGGTTTTAGGGATTAAGGCTCTAGGGTTTCAGGGTTTAGGTTTTAGGGTTTAGCTTAGGATGTAGGATTTAGATCGTTGTTGAACTGATTTTCTATGAGCCGGATCGGGGTTCATGGGGGCCCTTCTTATAGCGGCCTGAATAATCTGGACAAGGTTTTGGGGCCCATGATAGTATAAATGTAATGAGGAACACCCAACATCGTACGGGTAATTATACGGCCACTATATTATCGCAAGAGTCAGGCCCTTGTGGACACAGGAGAGGAGCCTGATCTAAAGACCCACGCAACTGACGATGACATGTACATGCTCAGAAATTGGTACTACGCACCAAAGTCTGCTGCTGATTGTAGCTCTTGACCGTGGTCGCACTGAACGTTGGATTGGCATTTGTACCAAGCCCTAGTACACTATTCGTCGGTACGGTCATTATATGTGATCTGGCCGTGGTCTTTTTCGCACATCTCATACAATCTCATATTCGTCCGTGAGGCGGACCATCTTTCGTAGACAGTAGAACAGGCTGACACCAAAACCCAAAACCCTAAACCCTAAACCCCTAAACCCCTAAACCCCTAAACCCCTAAACCCTAAACCCTAAACCCCTAAACCCTAACAAACCCCTTACTCTGCAGTTGCCCTCGTCTCGACATTCAGAATGAAGTCTCAGTTCACTGCGAAGGGCTTACCTAGTGTCTCCATCGTAGCTCCTTTTTGGTTAACCAGTTCTAGGGTTAGGATCCTATAATGGAGATTTAATTGCAGGTCCATTTTTTGGTGAACCGAAATCTGTATTATAGGATCCTAACCCTAAAACTGGTTAACCAAAAAAAGGAACTACAATGGAGACCCTAGGTAGATGGGCAATGTTCGCAGGGGTTCTGATCCAAAACTCACTGCACCCTAAGCCCTCAACCGATCCATGAAACAGTTTGTCGCCGTCCTGCAAAGCCCTGAGCGCCACAAGACCGGCCAGGCCGCCGCCGACGATGAGAACGTCCGCAGAGGCCATTTCTCTCTCTGGCTATTTGAGGTCTCGGGTTCAGAGCTTAGCTTATGATGACTACGGCTGCTGTGGCTAGTCCCCTTCTGTGCGTATGTGCCTATATGCTCTTGGGTGCATGCATTCGTTCCGGGCGAGGTCTCCAGGTTGCACGAAACTTTGGGCGCGAAGCTTGGCTTCTTTGCGCTGGTGTTCGTGGCGCAACTAAACTTCTGGGCTGACGGTCTGGGATTTGTGCAGGGTTCATGGCTGGGGGCAGCCGGGCTGAAGGGTTGGAGGATCCTGAAATCAACTTTTTTTCGATATGTCGGATTCTTTTGCGAAGCAGCTGCGGCCGTTGGCAAACATGCTCTTGGAATGCTTCCGAAACCATCGGAATGCCAGAGACCATGGCAGGTTGGGGTCAATCGGTTGTGTGTCTGCAGGGGCTTAAGACACCCGAAGCCCAAAATATCTCGCAAAGCCGAAGCCTGTACAGTAGAAGCCAGAAAGTTGGAATATCATTATCGTAACCCCCCTTTTAAGGTAAATTATAGGGGATCCTACCATTAATCCATATTCCAACTTTCTGGACTTCCCTTTAGCCCCGGAGCGTCACCACCTGTGCAGCCTCTTTGCAAAAAAAGGGCCCATCTCTGCCCCGAAGCCTCGTCCTTTGACCCCGAGACCCGAACCCCAAAGCCTACCTATAGTCTCCATTGTACGGTTGATGATATAAATCCTGCATGACCCATAATAAGGAATATACCATAATTCCCATAGTTTAGGGTCCTTAAGGTAATGCAGGATTTATATCATCAACCGTAGTTCCTTTTTTTAGAGGGTCCTAACCCTAAAACTGGCTATCCAAAAAAAGGAACTACAATGGAGACTCTAGGTACACTAGCTCGAGACCCTAAACCCTCAAAGCCCCCAAAGCACTGTAATAGGGTCCGTAGATAGTTCCACACAGGCCCCAAAGTAGGGGCCGTAATAGTTAGACTAGGGCCTTGGGGGCTCCTTGTTAAAACTATTGTATAACATACCCCAAACCATACTCTAATTATGAAGGCCCCTTCATTAGACCCTGAACCCCGGACCTACGACCACAACTGGGTCCCAAACTCGCTGCTGGGCCGAAGCTTTGGAAATCGGGGAGACCAACCTCTGGGAGTTGGGTTTAGGGGTCATCTGGCATAAGGCTTAACCCACAGGGTCCAAGTACCAATATGGAAGCTACTTCGTAGATATGTTGGGCTCCAAAGTACATGCTATGCTCTTACTTGGACGCTTTGGGTAAGGGGTTTTGGGTTTGGGGGGAGCTCGCTGACAATTGTGGGAATATGCAGGTCGATCGCTACCTACCTGAGAGTCTCCTCATGAACTACCATTATGGAATCAGGTCCCAAAACACCATCCTTGTTCTGGTTCTAAATTTGAGGGACTGAGGGGCCTCCCTACACAGACTCGTTCGGGATGAGGGTATGGTGGCAAGATCCCAGCTGAGTCAAGTGTGATCTTCACCTTGTGCACTCATCCAGCGGCTGTCGGCAAGAGACTCGAGACCCTCAAAACGACTCAAGCCTAAGCGTACCCTCCTTGAATGGCAATTCGTCCTGGCCGGAAAACCTTGAAGCCCGCCACCCGGGGTTATGGTGCGCGCGTTCTGCTGCTGGTGGCCGTACATGTTGCAGGCTTCAAAGGATTAGGGCCCGAGGGGAGGGGGGGTTGAGCGATATAGTTGGAGAGCTTCAGTTGGAGCTCGGTGATAGGCGTCTCCCGATCGAAATTGTTCTTTGCAATATGCGGAGTTCATGCAGACATATGACGGTCTGCCATAAACTTCACTCCTTATTACGGTGCGTAAAGGGCTTCCCGACAAACGCCCTCTCCTCTTCGAGTATATAGCAAACCCGAGATGTTGCTTGAAAACGATCGCCTCCGAGATGAACAGACTCATGCCGGAAGCTGGGCGGCCTGAATCCATGAAGCTTTAGTGTCACCAAGCCATGGCAACTGCAAGCCCAAACCCTAAACTCCCTCGGACCCGAATCCGCCAAGCCCTCGAACCCGACACGCTCAACTTGAAGCATCTTCGTGTAGGCCTTCCTAAAGTTCTTCAAGACTTTAGTGGCTTTAGTGTTGATCTCGATCCAGGTCCGAGAAGCAGTGACTCCACGTGAGTCCTGGGGTTGTACAGCCTCAGAAAATCTGCGTGCACTGCAACTTCAAGGATCAGCTGGTTAGTAGGCTAGGGCTCTTTCGGGCAGTTGTTCAAGATTGCTGTTTGGCGGGCTACGAATGAAACTGTGTACACAGAATGCCAAACCGTCGCAACTTCGAACACTCAAGACCTCTAGACTCAGAAGCCCTACTAAACACTAAACCCTAAACCCGAAACTCAGAACCCCGAACCAGTCCTTGGCACTGAACCTTTCAGCTTCAAATGCCCCCAACGAGCTGAAGGATTGGGCTCTTAGCATGTGGCGGGAGAGTTTCCAAGAGCCATTCTGATGGGCAGGGTGGTACTAGTAGCATTCGCAGAGCACTTTTGGCAGGAGTAGGGGCATGAGTTCGTAACTGATAGTGGTGTTGGATGGTTTAGGGTTTAGGATTCAGGATCGCCTATACAAGTGATGCACATCAATTTGTTCTGGAAACTCCGTTGGTCTCCTACTTTAGCGTGTCCATTCATCTCAACGTTGGACTGAACTGCTCAGCCCAGATGTTGGATAGGAGGCATGTGGGTGGTTGTCAAAATTATGGTCCCTTGTTGGGTCCTTAGTATAAGACGGCACCTGCGTAATATTTAGGGCACCCGAAAAGGAACCATAGTTTCGACAACCACCCATGTGTAGAGCCGGGATACTTCCACGGGCTCAAGGCTGCTCATTGACTTATATTGACTTTTGCTCGAAGGTGAAGGCTAGCTCAGGTCCTCTTGCGAGACACGGAAGAAGCAGGCTAAACCTTCACCCTGCACCTAATGTGCCTAAGCATCACACCCACAGCCATAGGAGCTAAAGAACATTCAATGAAGCTGGCTTTTGCGACAGAATAGGGCTGAAGGCTGGGGAGTTAGGCATTCCGCTGATGCAGGACAATGTTGAATGACCACACTTCCCCATCCTTAGCCCAAATCATGCTGAAGATGCTGCCCCACTTCCCCTAACGATCCAAAGGACCAAATAATTAGGTACTTAGGTTTTGGATGGTAGTTATGTAGGTTACTATTTTGGAAAGTATATGATAAATAGGCACTTGGACCCTTGGGGTTCCAGCAAGGAGATTCGTGAATCTGAAAAACACAGCATGGAATCCGGACACTAGAGACCATTATCCAAACTTTACGCATCGTCTGCCAAGATCCTGAGAACTGCAGAGAGCCGGGCATTTGCTTAAAGAGGCCCGGGTCCACCACCTGCTTTTCGCGGCTTGGTGATTCACTACTATTTGCTTAAGAACCACCCAAAAAATAAACAAATATAATCCCTATATTATCCCGATAAGGAATATATTTTTTTATCTTTGTTGGGGGGGTTCTTAAGCAAACAGTAGGTCAGGTTCCGGTAGGGTTCAGGGTTGAGGGTTACCCAAAGGGCCCTATGTACTGCTATGGGGGATACTTCCCTAAGGCATATAATCGTAATTCCTAATAGGGAAACCCTCTATTCTACTATATCGGTACATAGGACCCTTTGGGTTAGGGAAACACGAGGTCCAGCACCGACGTGACCTAGGATGATGCTGTCGTTGCTGTTCCCAGACTAGGATACCTAGTAACCTAAGAATAAAAAGGCCTCTCTTTTTGGTATCGGGCAACTTTATAAGGAACCTAGGACTACAAAAAGGGAATAAGGGTACTACTGGGCATCCTAGCAGACTATCCGCCGTTGATTCGGGAGTGTCGGTCGCGAGTGGTCTGCAAAAAGTTTGATTGGAGGCCACGCATGGGACGCTAGTACTGTGAGCGCAGGCCTAGGGATCAGGATCTGAGACTTTTGGCTTGCGGCTTCCACCGTCAAGACCAGATCAACACAGCCTATCCTAAACCGGAGACACTGGGCCCCGCACATACACGACACCGTCGATGGTCAAAGAGGTCTCGGCAATGTTCGTGGCAACCTCGTATTAAGTACATAACTGGGCAGACATGTTTTGGTTCCAAGGCCCGCATGCCTTCTTCAAAATCTCAGTATATCGTCTCGCTGCCGGATTTTTGGATGAGGGCCAAAATTTTCAAACACCAGACCTTCCTATAGTCTCCATTGTAGTCCCTTTTTTTGTTAACCAAAATCTTTATTAAAGGATCCTAACCCTAAAACTGGTTGAGGTTGCAAAGATGTGCAGCTGGAGCTTCTTGACTAAACATCTTCGACAAGAAGAGCCTGCTACAGGAGCCCTAGATCACGTGGCTTCTGTGATGTGAGGAAAAATTCGTTCCGGAAGAACCTGCAGGGTGATCGAGTGCCTAGCATGCATATGCATTACAATGATGCCGTGTTAGTTCTTTAGGGTCATGGAGGTCGGCCGTAGGAAGTAGGGTTCTGGGCTAGGGCTTCGCACTGCCTGAGTTCCCCACGATGATCTTCCGCGTTCCCTCGGGAGCTGGAGGAAACACACGCCTCTGGCAAACAGAAGCTGACTTTAAGTCAAGGTGGCAAGCAGCCGGTACAGGGCTCTCTAGGGCTTTCGTTCTAAGGATGGGCCATTCACCAAGAGCAACTTTACAGACCGCGCGGCCTAGTGGGGATTCCATGAGGGCTCAGGGACTTCGAAGCATCCGAGCGCTTCCCTAGACCCTCGTCCGTCAATGCTAGGCCCGGAGGTCCAGCGTGCGAGAAGTTGGGGCCAGGGGGTGTTTAAGTTTAGGACCAGGATTTATGGTGGATCTCGGCGAAAGATTACGAGGCTGGTTTTAATTAGGCTTTAAGTTGCCGTGCTTCGGGATCGACGGCTTCTGAACCGTCAACTGCCCCCCTAGACCTGAAAGCCTAGACCCCCAACTCCACTTGTCGTAAAAACGTAAA